AGTTCATTTTGACAAATACCTCTTGGGGGCGGGGGGGGGGGGTCGTCCCTTCACGGCAATCATAATATGAAAGTGGCAACAGACTCTTCTGTACACACACGTACATACACACATACACATACACACACACACACACACACATACACACACACACAATCTCAATATTTGAAATAGAATACTACTATTAGCACCTTTGGAAATAGGAAAAATAATGGTTTCACTACACTGAACTGTTTAAACAGGATTTCTTCTGCTGCCGGAACAATGCACTTTCAATTCAGAACACATTCCTGCTGCAACTCAGTACTCGAGAGGATCTTTGTAAACAAAACAAAACAAACAAACACGTTTTCAGCAAGGCATGGTGATCTCCAACTTTCACTTCAGTACTCAGAAAGCTGAGGCTGAAAAGGACTGCCCTCAATTTGAAGCCAGCCTAGACTCCATGAGTTTGAGGTCAGCCTTGGCTTTGGCTTCAAAGTGAGACCCTGTCTCAAAAACTTGAGTAAATAAAACAAACAACTCTAATTATAATTTGGTTATTTTACCAAAACTTTGAGAGACACCAGTAACACTGACGTGATTAGCATTATGAGTATTTGGTCACAAAAATATTTATCAACACTAAAAAGTAAGTACCATGAGAACAAGAGAAATAGCATCAGAATTCAAATCTGTTAATAACCCTTTTCCCTTAACTGAAAATACTGGAGACAAGCAGTTTTACTAAACGGTTGTATACATGCACACATACATACACACACACACAGAGAAAAGGCCAGAACAATACATTTAAACTACCAATCCAAACATTCGTCAGAAGTCCTAGACAATACTTATGTCACCTAGCAACAACCTAGACTCAGTAAGTTCCATTTAATTAATGTAAAATGATCACATCTAGCTCAAGATTTTCATCCACAATACAAAGCAATCAGTCTCCTTTCCTAACTCAACAACTGCTAAGCGCACAGAATGCACTGCAGCTTTATTATCCTTCTGACAAAAAAGTTGTAAAAAAATTGGCCTGTAGATACTCAGGCCAATATTTAATATGGTTCTAAATATTTCAATTAACTATTTTTTATTGCTCAAAACAATCTGATATTAGGCCTTTTTATAAATTTCACAAATATATGTAGTAAGCCACACACCATACCTGGTTATCCTAATAACTTTAGATCAAATTAGATTGTATATGCTACAAAGAATTGCCAGTTGCATGAGAGGTAGCAGTGTCAATGAGATGGGATGAGTTCACCTTTTCAGTACTTCCATATACTTAGAATCACACACACACACACACACACACACACACAATCACAACTTTTATCTCTCAAAAAACTACTTAAGTACTGTCATGAAAAAGAATACCAAAATTTATCCTGTTACATACTCATTTTCTAGAAATATTCAGCTCAGTAGTTATTCATGAGAGACTAAACAAGAACAGGAAAAAAAAAAAAAATATATATATATATATATATATATATATTTCTTTGCATAAAAAGCTGAAATAGAAAAATAATTCAAATAGGCTGTGGATTAAGTACTTGTCCCACAAGCACAAGGACCTGAGCTCAGATTCCCAGCGTCCACCTAAAAAGCCAGCAGAGTGAGTGCCTATAAGCCCAGCATTGCATAGAGATGGAGGCAGGAGGATCCCTGAAATGTGCTGACCACCTTTGTGCAGTTAGTGAGCTACAGGTTCAAGAAGAAACCCTCTCTCAAAAACTAAGGTAGAGACCAATAGAAGAAATCCAACACCAACTTCTAGACTGTATACATACCTGTACATTCACTTGCACAGCACATACACAAACACACACAATAGGAGGTAAATTCCAAAAACATTCAACAACAGAATCAAAGAGGTGTTGGGTAGATGGAAGCAAGAAGCGGGAGGGGAAGCACCATTGTGCTCAGATACGGTCATAACTTAGGTTAATTCTAACATAGATGCGGCAACAACAAATACCATTGCCTAACCAAATCATTTTGTTTCTTTTGATCTCATTTGTAAACTATAAGGTAAGACTAAATGAACTTCATGCATAACACACAATGAAGTTTATGTGAAAGCTACAGGGTCACTCATTCTGCACGAACAGACATGATCTACCACAGGAGAAGTCACACCTCTCAAGCAAAGGATATCATGAGCGTGGAACACACAAATCCACAACAGGTTATATCAACAAGTCAGAGCTGACCAAATGTGGTAATGCCATAATGTAACTACTTGGGAGGTAGAAGCAAGAGGATCTGAGTTTGATGACAGTGCTACAGTCTATAAAAAAAAATTAAAAAATAAAAAACAAAACCAGCAGCCCCGAACTGCCAAAAATCATATTCACACAGTCTGTAAAGTTCCTTAAGTGGAAATTAATCACACATTTACTCATTTAAAAATATAGAAAGAGAATCCAGCTCTACCAAAGGCAAAGGAAACAAGAATTGAAAAACCATAAAGGCAAAACTGACATTCCCTGGTAGAAATGACAACACAGATCATCTATGGAGCAGACATGTAAATGCACATATTCACAAAATATATTCAATGCTAGAGCACTTGCCTAGCATAAGCTAGGCCCTGGATTGAATCCACAGTATTGGCTGTAGAGAGAGAGAGAGATGGAGAAAGAAACAAGCAAGGACTTTCTCAAACCTAGTATATCAAAATAATTCACAGGCCTATGCTCCAACTTCATGATCAAAAATGCTTGCCTTAAAAATAAATGAACCATCTGCTTCAGGTAAGAAGCAGCAATAGGAATAAATTCTAAGTTTCCTACCACATTCAATAAATCAGTATCTGTAACAGTTTTAATGTAAACTTTATTCTTAGTACTATGTTAAATATTACACAAGAACAGAAAGGTTAAGATCTCTGTCCACAGGAAAATCTCCTCAATCTTATTTTTAAGACACAGTGACAAAAAGTTCAACAATTTCAACCCTGTATACATTTCAAGACGTCTTGAAGCTAGAAGTCCCATAAACAGATTTTTATAAATAAAACAGATCCAGATATTCAGAAACAAACTACATCATCAAAGGCAAGAGAAAGAATGTCTTGAATGGAAAACTTTACAGGTAGGTACATTTTACAACAGAAAATAAAGTAACTGTTTAATCAAAATTATTAAGGTAAAAAACAACCATCAAAAGACCTGGAATTTCTACAAAATGAACATGAATGCAAATACTAAAATTATTATGGTTAAGAGAGAAAAAAGTTTGAGAATTTCTAAGTTCAAGCTAAGTGACATTTTTATTGCTTGTGGTAATAGATATAATTGGTGTCTGTCTACTCCTAAGAGTGGCAGGACCATAAATGGCTATATGTGTCAACTAAGTCTAAGAAAGTTCAGCACTTCACTAAGTTCTACTTTTAAGCGAGTTATAAAATATCTAATTATAGTTTATAAACTGCTTTTTTTCAGTGCTACCTCAGTAATTATTCCTAAATTCTTTTTTAATATTAACTGCTGAAACAAAGCAATTCTAGCATTTCCCCCTTAAGTCAAATTAGGTAATCTTAGATCTACAGTGGTTCTATTGTCTCTTGATGGAATGATGCAATATACTTTTTTTATAGCCCACCACAAACTTTCATATATGTTATTCTACACATTTCAACAACCTTATGAAGGAAAGCAAGAATTATTGCCATTATTTCATTGATAAGGTAAAGGGAAAATTAGGTCAATTAGTACAAAGTTCACTGCTAGAAGTACTTGAATTAAGAATAAAACACACAAGCTCTGACTCCACGTAATTTATATTCCAGCATCAAAGGAATGGAAATAAGTTCCAAATCTCTAACTAAATTTTGATTTTAATTCTAAATCTTAATCTAACTCTTTAAAGTCTGCACTCTTCCCATTTCAAACTCTAATAAATATCATAGACACTAAGAGCAAATGCAAGCAATAATGAGTCTTTCAAAGAACACGTGTACAAAAGCACATTTAAAAAAAAAATTCAAATATAGTAAATACACTGTAAAGTTTGCTTTCTTTAATCTAATGAATTTATCATACTACAGCACACACAATTCACTGACAGAGCAAATAACATTAGCTCTAAATTATTTATGCTACATATGACTTAGAGAAAACAAATGTTAAAATATCTTCACTCTTTCTAATCTATTCTTAGTGTTACTGTATTCCAGCCTGGACTCTAGTAAAAAACATAACTGACATGATTGGGGATGGAATGTCTATGAAAGGCCTATGTATTAAGTCTTGGTCCCAAGCTCAGGGTGTTATTGGGAAATGGTGGCAACACTGAGAGATAGGGTCTGGCTGGAGAAAGTTAGGTCACTGGAGTAGTCTTGAAAGTGTTATTTGACTGCAGTCTCTTTCTGTCCCTTTGTTTACAAGAAGCTTGTTCCTGTACATAGTCCCACCAATGCTGCCTCACCAAAATGCCCAAACTCAGTCTACTGACTATAGATTAAAAGCTAACACAGTAAGTAATCAACTAAAATAAGTAAAATTATTAGAGTTCTGTTTCTGTGGGTTTTTAAACCTGAAAACAAAAATTTTATTACAGCCAGGTGGTGATGGCACACGCCTTTAATCCCAGCACTAGGGAGGCACAGGCAGGCAGATTAATATGAGTTCCAGACCAGCCTGGTCTACATAGAGAATGAGTTACAGGACAGCCAGAGCTATAAGAGAAGCCCTGTCTCAAAAAACAAAAACAAAAACAAAATTTATTACTATATATACACTGACGCTGTCCTAACATAAAAACTGATGTTTTTAAGAACAGGAGGTATACACAAACTCTGCACATAAAGGATTTCTAGTCAAGAAAATACAATGACAACTGCTATGAACAAAGATCAATGAGCCCAGGAGATAGCTTATTATCAACTGCATGGATTACTATTTTAACTCTTACTACAAAGTATTCAATCCTATTATAGGCATATACAGATAGGTTTCAGTTTCACCTGTATAACCCATATGACACACACGACTTACCTCATCCTGGACACCACTGGTAGTAGTCAACTTGCTTCCATCAGTGATTGTAATTATTATTGCTGGCTCCAAGAAAAAAGGGTTTCTTCCCTAAAGCCAAAAAAAAAAAAAAAAAAAAAAAAAAAAAAAAAAAAAAAAAAAAAAAGAATATTAAGGCTTAAGGGCTTAACTTTTAGTTACAAAGCCAATCTTAGAACAGAATGTCCACAATCCCCCTGGAATGCATACCATCTCCATTTTCACTTTTAAAACATTTTTTATTGCATTTAATTTACTTTGTGTGTGTGTGTGTGTGTGTGTGTACTCAAATGTCAGAGTATGTGTGGAGGCTGGAGGACAACCTGTGGGCATCTGTTCTCTCCTACCAAATGGGACCTGAGAATCAAATCAGTTTGTCAGGCTCAGCAGTCAAATGCCCTAACCACTGCACCATCTCACTAACACTACTTCTTCTAGTAGTAAAATTTACATAATAGATACCTGTGTGCACATTTAAAAACAATCTTTTTAGAATACATACTGATTAGAGAGATGAACATGGATTTCTCATGCTTTATACATCCTCTTGTTTCCATTTTTACAGTGTGCACTTGTATTTGTGCACCTCAAAGAAGTTCTGAAATTTTGTATTACGTGTAGGAGTGTTTGGCCTGCATGCATGCACATGCACCATGTGTGTGGTTGGTGTCACAGAGGCCAAAGGAAAACAGGAGGCTGTTCAGATGCCCTGAAACTGGAGTTGTGGACAACTGTGGGTACTGGGAATTGAACCCTAACCTGGAAGAGCAGAAAATGTTCTTAAACCACTGAGCCATTTCTCTAACCCCGATATTTAATTTCTTAAATGGTATCCTCATAGCTGAATTCTGGTAATTTGGTTTTGTCCCGCCCCCCCACCCGGAGGCTGTCAAAACGATGATAATAATCACTTTTCAGCCTTTTGACTAAGATCAAGTATGGTACAAATTGGAATAATAAAGATAGTACTAGCAGAATATGGTGGTACACACCTGTGATTGCAGTATGTCAGAAGTTAAGGGACCATGAGTAACACAGCAGAACTATCTCAAAATACAAAACAGCAGACTAAAACTTCGATACAATGGTACACAGTTGAAATTCTAGCACTAAGAAACTGATTCAGGAAGACAAGTGATTTCCAGGACATAGACATTTTAGAAAGCAAAACTTGTTTGAAAGTGAAGATGCTTACACAGAGTGATGCATAACCACACAGTCTCCACAGCTCAAGACACTGAAGCAAAATTCAGGACTAGCCTGAGCAACATAATAAAACCCGTATCTCAAAAAAGATAGGGGGTAAATTCAAATACTCTGTTATCATCATCGGCAAAAAATTGAATGGTTTTATTGGATCTGACAAAAGGATATGACAAAGTTTAGTAATTATAGGAATTACTTGGTAAAATGTAGTTGTTCATTCAGTGTTTATGAGACCAGTCTGAGAGATGCTGATGTCCACAGACCACACCTAATAGTAAAGGATTATATGCATAAATCATGTATAGTTTATTAGCCCATACTCACTACCTGCTGAATAAATTTATAGTTACAGTTATATGGTTATAATCTAATCATCATAAAGGAGGAGATTAAGTACTTTGATGAAGTCATGCAAAGTTGTAAGTAGCACATATATTTCTCAAATTGATGTCAAAGAAAAAATGTTATAGAAAGTGAAATCTAAAAAAAAAAAAAGAAAAGAAAACAAAGTGAAATCTTCTGTTGGTTAGAACCCCACCTTTGGAATAACATACATTTTTTAAAAAGCTAGTCAATGATAATTCCAACATTGAGGAGACAAAAACAAAATGATCCCTTGGGTTTGCAGGGCAGACAATCTAGCCAAATAGGTGAGCTCTGAGTTTACTGAGAGACTCTGTCCCCAAGAAATAAGGTGGAGAAGAAACTGAGAAATGAATTATTATTGACTTCTGATCTCCACATCCACATCCCAAATTTTATATACACTCAGAGACAGAGACAGGCAGAAAGACTGACAGAGACAGAGAAACACAGAGAGATTGATTCTAAATACACAACAGCATTAAAATATCTCGGGAAAGCTGGGCAGGGTGGTGCATACTTTAATCCCAGCACTCTGGAGGCAGAGGCAGGCAGATCTCTCTGAGTTCAAGGGCAGCCCGGTCTACAAAGTGAGTCCAAGACAGCCAAAGCTACACAGAGAAACCCCATCTTGAAAAAACAAACAAACAACCCAAGAACCTTCTAGAAAGAAAACATAATTACTAACTTCCCTTTGTATGTTAGATAGAAGGCATTTTGGAAAGCATTACATTCTACTGCTTCTTGTACCAGTCACAGTGGAACTCAATTCTAAATTCAGGTCTTCTCACGAAGCCACATATTAACAATGTCCATCTCCACCTCAGTCTTGTCTCACTCAGTAAAAGGCTTGTTATATTCCTTATTTAAAAACCTAACCAATTCCTACTTATTCCAAAATACCCAGTTTAAATCTGTTCTTCCATGAAGTCTTCCTTATTACTAAGGCCTTCAGTAGCCAAACCTTCCATTCTACAAAATCCAATACTAAAAATTTTGAGTTTTATATTACGATAAACATTCCTTCAAATAAACTTGGGGTTTTCAGTGGTTTTGTAGAGTATATTTAAAGTCCAGCCATAGAGTATCTGTGAGACACTTGAGTTAGTAGGCTTTGATACCACAGAATGTGTCAGGGGTAGCCTGAACAACATAAAAAAAGCTCTCTCAAGAAAGAAAAAAGAAATGATATAGATACCACTTTCACAACAATGAGAACATAACACTACTGTACCGTAGATTAAAAGTTAAGGGCACCATGGAGATGCACCAGCAAGTAAAGGCCAAGCCCGACAATATCTCCAGGATCCATATTGTAGAAGAGTGTCCCAAAAAAATTATTCCTGATCATGCATGGCATGTGTGTAAAGACATATACATATGTGCAGATGTTATTTTTTAATGATTTAGATACTAAACTTTTGTTGGATGTTTTTTCTTTTACTTATGATTTAAAATAGGTATCATCTAGTTGGGAACAAGAGAAATAGGTCAGAAGTTAAGAGCACTTGCGACTCTTACAGAGGATCTGGGTCCAGTTCTCAGCACCAATTTGATGACTAACAATCTGTAACTCTAGTTCCAGAAAGGCCTAATGCCCTCTTCTAAGCTCTATGGGCACCAGGCATACAAATGGTGCACATACTTACATGAAAGCAAAACATTCATACACATAAACAAGCCTTTAAAAATAATACTATATACATAAACTAATATTGCTTACTATTGTTTCACTTAGTTTTGTTTTTATTCTATCATAAGCACAATGCAAATTAACTTTTATAGGCCAGAGAATCGGCCAACTTTTTAATTAAATAGCAAAAAGCTACCTTATATTACGACCTTTGTGTATGATGCTCACTCCAAATAGTTGACCATTTCCCTCATGAAGTAGGTTTCCTACTAGTTGCACGTACAGATTCAACAGCTAACAACTGTTCAGAAAAAAATAAACTGTGTCTATACTGCATATGTTGTCTATTTTTCCCTGTCATTCCCTAAGCAATCCAACTATAATTCACACAAAATTTACAAGGAATTAGGCATTATAATCTACAGATAATTTATAGTTCAAAGAATGTGAATGGGTTTTTCTAGAACAAAAAACTGTCAGCTGCAATTTTACTAGTCTTATACTACACTCTCAAAAGCCATGCCAGAAATTATCGTACTACTGCAGATCTTGGCAATAACATAAAGCACTTACATTCTAAAAGTCAAATTTTCAGGCAGATGAAATGGTATAATTCAAGATGTGCTAGTAAGATTAATAAGCTGCAAAAGCCAGAACTTAAATTGTAAATCATAGCTATTCCATAGCATCAAGAAGTTGTATTTGGGCTCACAAGATGGCACAGCAGGTAGGCACTTGCTGTCAAGCCTGATGCCTTGAGTAAGATTCCCAGTCAAAGGAGAAAATCTACCAGTGAGCCACTCCCAATAGCTATCTTATGATCTCCAAACATACATGAAAAACACAACAAATAAAACGAAAATAAGTTATGTGGGTAGCACACAAGTTGTGCAACAACCTGGTTTGTGCTGCATCCAACCAGAGAATGCGACTATGATCAAACTGCTGTTTGTTATCTGTGGATTTTACAGTGCTGGTGACGAAACAGACCAGAGTCTCACACATGATACACGCATCTATTACTGAGCTGCACAGCCCACAATTGTCCTCGTAATAGTTTCCTGTTCTGTGATTTTGTACCAGTGTTTTGTTTTGCTTTGTTTTTTACGTATAAATCAATACATCTTCTCTCAACATAAAACAAACCACAATATACAGGAATAATTATTTACAAAAAACTACAAATTCCAGCCAGGCGGCACATGCCTTTAACTCTAGCCTTCAAGAGGCAGAGGCAGGCAGATCTTTGAGTTTGAGGTCAGTCTGGTCTACACAGTGAGTTGCAGAACAGCCGGAGCTACACAGAGAAACCATGTCTCAAAAAACAAACAAATGAACAAACAAAACACTTCCAGAATGCACCCACAGACACACACATGAATAAATAATATTAATGTCTTTACGTTTTGGGGAAAATCTACATAAAGATCAAAGACAGAAAAAATCATCTTGGCACTAATTATTCCCCTCTCTAATAGGGAAGATCCTTCTATGAAGTAAGCAAATCTCTCTCTCTCTCTCACACACACACATACACAAACTCACAAATAATTACAAAACTAGAGACTAACTAAAGGTAATCTATAATATACAAATGGAGTGCTTTTACTTCTTCAGGGTGAAAATCCCTATGCTTTAGAAATGAAGGAGCTTATTTCGCATGAGTTTCAAATGACCAACAGTAGCAGGAAGGGCTGCTGCAGTAGTTTCCTCATATACAGTTCCCCACAAAACCTCCCCTGCTTTTCACAGCACTTACTCTCAATGGCTGAATAAAAAGTTGACACTTTCTCTGTCAATATTATTCATTCATCAAATTAAAAGCTTTAGTTACCTATCAGCACCAACTATTTTTCATGTTTTAAAACAC